CCACCACCACCACCACCACACCACCACCACTCGCCAGCCCTCGGTTCAGTTAAAAGTGGGCTTGGCACTTCCGCAGCAAACTCTCCCCCTCCCTCACCACCACCGCCACTTCTTTTCTCTCTGTCAAACTAACCTCCAACTCCTGCTCTTCACCTCTATGTTTCCTGTCAAGGTGCACTGCCCACCTCCTCCTCCCCTCCAACCACCAGCTCTGCCCCCGCAACCTTTTCTCTTTTTCTTTCTTTCAACATCTATTACAGCTCTAAATGCCTACAGTTCTTTTTTTTTTTTTTTTTTAAATGCTCAGTGCAGAGGGCGTGACCCCCCCCCCCCCCCCCCCCCCGCGCGTGGGGGTGGTTTTCTCGCTTTGTTAACACCAAGAAGGGGGCGGTTTTTTTTTTTTTTTTTTTTTTTAAAGCTTCTGAGGGGGGGGGGTTCCCCCCCCCCCCCCCCGGTGCTGTACAGGGATCTTGTCATCTCTGCATGTACACAACTAGAGAGGGCGTTTTTTTGTTGTATTTATGGCTTTGAATGGAGTCTCTCACCGTACAATAGAATTTACACTTTATTGCATTGCTCTTTGTGCACGCCGCATAATGTCCACTTAAGCAGCACATATGAGCATATACCATCGGGACAGGAAATGGAGCCTTTTAGACTCCCTTACTGACTTACTCTTAGGAAAATTGGGTTTCAGAGGGAGTGAGGGCTAGGTTATGGTCTTTCTGGACTAGTTCTGAAGATGATTCTTGTGACCACAATGGAGACGTGATAATGTTAAGGCGTTCACAGTGTTGTACTTAGTCGTTCACATAACAAGTGTCGCACGTAGTTGTGTAACAAATGAAAAATGACAGCTAGAAATAGAAGTACAATACCTGAGTCTTCTCTGACATTTGCACAGCTGGCCAATGACAGAGTGAAGTGGGTGTCAATGTCAGATTCTTGGCTTTTACAAAAACAGTTGGTACAGACACTCCCTTTCTGGCATTGAAAAAGGTGTTGGGGTAGATGTTATCCTACTATCCAACATGCAGGTCAGGCTGTTCTGTTTTCACTGTTTTTCCCTTAAAGATGCCTTGCGGATTTTTAAAATTTTTGGGGAG